CTTCGACACTTACTAGTGGTCCAATGATGATACATCAATAATATAACAAGTCGAGGGTTTATATAAACATGAATGTAATTCAATAGAGTGAAGCAAGTACACAATTCTTTCTTTTATATGAAAATTTCCAATTTCCTTTTTCTTCATTTATACATATATTCTCAAGATGGGAAGAAGCAATATCAATTTCAGTAAATTACAAGGCAAGCCATACAAGCATGCGCAAATCATGCCGAGGACATACGGCCCGATCCAACAATATTTCAACTGTGCACTACCAGAGGGTCGAATGGCGCGAACCATAGATGCATCTATTACCCCGCTCGCGAATCATACATGCGACGTGGTCAAATTTAAATAAACACTCCAAACAGTCAATCAAGAAACCATCAAGGAATCAATCATCCAATAAAATGAAAACTCTTTTTAAAAGTCAAGAAACAAATGTCTAGTTTTTTATAAATTCTTTTATACGTTTCAATATGTTTTAAGCATTTCAATTTGACAACCAGATTTCAAATATTACAAGTAAAACATGCTTTTGGGTCCTAGACTACCCGGACTTAAGCATAATAGTAGCTACGCACTGACTCTCGTCACCTCGTGCGTACGTAGCCCCCACAAATAGGAGCACATTACCAATTAACTCACCTATGGGGACAATTCCTTCTTACAATGTTAGAAAGGAGACTCACCTCGCTCCGAAGTTTCATAACCGGCAATCCACGCCCTTCCGAAGACTCAAATCGATGCAAACTGCTCATTATAATCCAATTTATAAAAATTCCTAACCCCGATCAAAAAGTTGACAAAATCGCCCTCGGGCCCACATGCCCGGATTCCAAAAAATTTCGAAGATAAACTATACCCATAACCTCACGAACTCAAATATATAATTTACTCTTAATTTCTTGTCCAAAATCGTTGTCAAAATCCATGAATACTAATTTTCTAGGTTTTCCCTCAAACCCCAAGTTATTCACAAATTTTCATGCTCAAATCCATATACAATCATGTATTTAACTCAAAACTAACATAAACCACTTACCTCATACTTGGTGGTGAAAATGGCACCTCAAAGTTGCTCCAAAATTGGCTCTAATGGAAGAAATGGGGTTGAAATGAACTCAACCCCCGATTTTAAAGAACCTCACTGCCTCCAGCATTTCAGCACCTGCGGTGCACCAGCTGCACCTGCGGAAATGCATCGCAAGTGCGGTCCTCCTCAAGCTGGGCGAAATCCGCTTCTGCGGTCCCTCGAGCGCACCTGCGCCTTCGCACATGCACGTGCCCTTCCGCTCCTGCGACCCAGTTGCCCCTCACGCATTCCGCATCTGCGGAGCTTACCACGCACCTGCGGTCTTGCAGATGCACAAATACCCTCGCATCTGCGATTCCGCCCAGCTCTGCCCAAACGCGCTTCTGCGACTACAAAGCCGCACTTGCGGCTCCGCACCTGCGGCCAAGACCTCGAAGGTGCGGTTACACCAGATACCAGCTGCTGCAATCCTTCATCAAATTTCTAAATTTGATACGTTAACCATCCGGAATCCACCCGAGGCCCTCGGGACCCCAAACAATCATGCCAGCCAGTCCAAAAATACATTACGAACTCGCTCGAGGCCTCAAATCATATCAAGCAATGCTAAAATCGCGAATCACACCCCAAATCAAACTTGATGAACTTGAGAAATTCAACTTCAACATTCGATGCCGAAACCTATCAAATCACATCCGATTGACCTCAAATTTTGCACACAAGTCATATTCGACATTATGGACCTATTCTAACTTCCGAAATTGGAATCCGACCCCGATATCAAAATTCCACTTCCGGTCAAACTTCGCAAAAACCTTCAAACTTCTATCTTTAGCCGAATGACTCCAAAATGACCCACGGACCTCCGAATTCACTTCCAATCGCGCTCCCAACGCCAGGATCACCATGCGGAGCTATTCCCAAACTCAAAATCTCAAACGGACATTGATAACAGTGTAATGCACCTCAACCCAAACTTATGAAATTCTTCCAAAAATGCTAAGTTCCACAATAGGTGCCGAAATGTTCCCTGGTCTTCCAAAACCCGATCTGGACATACGCCCAAGTCCGAAATCATCATATGAACCTGCTGGAACCTTCGAATTCCGATTCCGAGGTCGTTTACTCAAAAAATCCAATCTTAGTCAATTCTTTCAACTTAAAGCTTCCGAAATGAGAATTCTCTTTCCAAATCAACTCCGAACTTCCCGGAATTCAATTCCGACCATGCGTACAAGTCATAATATCTGAAGTAAAACTACTCGAGGCCTCAAACCGCTGAACGACGTGCTAGAGCTCCAAACGACCGGTCGGGTCGTTACACATACCATCACCCACAATTAAATGGTAAATATGACAAATACATCTAACATGAAAAATGTTACTAAATGCAGGATTTAGTATAGTGGTAAGCAAGGCTACAACATTAGTGTTACTAGTAGCATTATCCATTGATATTATTTTATCACTAATGAAAAATATCTACAAATATCCGTAACTGTGCTAGAAATAAACTGCCCTGTGTGACGTGAATTAATTATTCTATAAGCAATAATGCGCTTTTGCATTATCCAGTCCTCGTCAATCCAATGACTTGTAATAGTAAGATAATCACAGTCACTACCACTTCTACCAATATCAGTAGTAATAACAACACGACAATTAATATGAGTAAATAAATAGCGCAAATATTGTTCATATTCATGTTTATATTTATAAATATCGCTCTTTACGGTTGTGCGAGGCCATCCTTTATAAGTAGGATTAAAAACTTTTCTAATATAATGCACAAAGTGGGGGTTAGACGGAAAACTGTAGGGTAAGCACATAACAGTAACCATTTTTGCCAATTCTTCCCTATTTTTTCTTGGGTCATAATATAAAATACCACCAGTAACAGTGTTAATTCCCGGTTGAAATTGATTTGACCCGGTACTAGGGTCAGGCTGATTAGTTGGACTTGTCCCCTCGGCCGCAGCTTTCATTTGATAAAATTTAGCTTTATCTTGAGGGTGTATCATTATGTGTCTCCTCAAACTTCCCGTCCCCCCCCCCCCCCCCCCCCCCCCGNNTCCATCTCTTTGCCACAAGTTTTACACTTAGCTTTATTTCTTTCTCTTATTTGAATAAAAAATGGCCAAACAAGAGATGTTTCGGCCCGTTTAGAAGGTTGTCTAGAAAAAGTAGGGGCAGTAACAGGGGGATCAACCGGAGCATCATTTGAATTAGTTGGGTTAACTTGAGTAACAGGACTAGTGGGTGTATCATCATCCGGTTGCGTTTCATCTAAATCTATTTCCTGCTCATCTTCTTCATCAGTAGTTGGATTACCATAAAGAGAATTCATATATTCATGATCTAAGTTTTCACCACCTCCAACATTATGCACATATTGACTCTCCGTAAATTGTAATAAAGTATTATTACTATCAAGAATAGCAGCAGGTGGAGGGCGGGTATGGGGTTTCGGTAGAGGAGGCCGAGGAATTAGAGGAGGAATAGATTGGCCACTAGATTCACCACTCTTGGATTTTTCCTTATTTTTACTAAACATTTTGTTAAGGAATAGGCCATCTTAATTATAATTATACAAAGTAATTAAATAAAACAAACAAAACTATAATATTAAAACTAAAGAGTTGGAACGAGTTTACCGAATTGACGAAAAACTTGTTGAAATTAATTATCGATGAATACTTCAATTCACCAACTTCACAATTTTTCACACAAGTTGCAACAACAAAGTAACCAATTTTAGAAGAAAATTAGAGAGAGATTGATGATTTGGTGAAGAAAAATGAAAGAATGAGGGGGTATTTATAGTTGAAAATAGGGAAAAAGTGTAATTATAAAAAGTTTGGGGTTAAAACAAACTTGGGGAGGGGGAGGGGGGGGTTAAATGGCTATTTTATAAATAGCCAACGGCTATTTTGGCAGCAATAACGGCTACATTTTAAAGGTGCAACGGTTAGAAATTGAATTGAGAATTTTTTCTTTTTTTAAATTATCCGTTGGGCCCATTTAGGACTGTTTGGGACCGGTTAGGACCAGTTGAACCGGCCCACTTAGGAGCCTCCAGGGCCCTAACGGTCCCTGTCCTAACGGGCCCCTACTGTGAACCGGTCCACATGGGCCTGCATGTCTCCTTTGTGCCGGGCTTAAACGGGTAGGACCGTTTAGGCCCACTACCCATATGGGCTCGCGGGCCTGGTCCGGTCCCGGGCCTAACCGGCCCACTTGCCACCCTTAACCATAGTTAAGTATATGTACAAAATTTATGAAGAAGCAAATAGCATTTGCTTATCGAATTAGCCTAAATACCGAATGTGAGTAAATTTTTTACTTCTAGAGAACCTCCTCTCTCATTCCTTCTCCTCACTTTTAATTTAATTTGACAATGGCCCTACAGAAATAAAAGAAAATTCTAATCGGATTAGCTATGAAAGAAACAGTTTCTGCAATATTAAACTGTTTATTTGACTTAAATCCTTCTTAAATAGTTCAATCGTCATGCCTTCAACTTATACTGTGCTAATTCTATTAGTTTAAGGTATCTTACGTTGTATTTTTAGTTGAAGTGGCTTCTTATCTTTTTCCTTCATGGAATTCAACAAGTAGAGACATTTGCTTACACTTAGCAAAGAGGGCGAAAAGGAATTTATTTGGTTATATGAACTATTAAATTCCCTGAATATAAAGGGAAATTCTTAACTCAAAATTTCACTAAAAGGCATTGAATTCAGGAGGTACATTAAACTCCCCCCAATCATCGACTAAATAAGACTTCTAACCCCCTATAGGCTATAGCTGATATCTTGCATGAGTGAAACAACGTTAACATTTAGATTATCACTCTTGCTATTTTGAGGGGGTAGCCCAAGAAGTTGCTTAATGTTCTCATATGGACAAAACTCCCCCTTTTGGGACCAACAGAATGGATTAAAAGAAGATGGCATTCTACTAAAATCAAATAAAAAGTTCTGATACAAATAAATCTGTATTTTGTATTGAGTCAACATCCAATTCAAGAACCATATTTAGGACCAAAAAGAGGAGAAAAGAAAGGCATCTTACTCAAGATCAAAGAAATGTCTGAACTACACCTATACCTGAAACTTGTAAATCACCAACAGAATTCAATAAGAGTACAACAACTCCCATCACACTTCCACTTCCTATCTACCCCAGAATATAAAAGAGCGAACCGACACAAGGAAAGAATATAAACCAGAAAATATAGGAAAAGAAAAATGACTAAATAGATGTTCTAGCATACCCCACATATAACAAGTGAACAAAATTGCAGGATCTCTTCTCTAAGCCATCCATCTTTTCAGCACAAATATCACGATTCATGTCGCCAGTTCGTTGCAGCACTACTGTTGCTTGCACTCTGGTGGCCTCTCACCAGCCTGACTGCCCGCTGGTGCATGTGCTCTACCACCCCTCTGCAATGAAAATATAAACAACTAAGTATGTCTAGTTTTACGAAAGAAAAAATCAGCAAATGAATTTGTTGTTCATACCTTGCGCGCAGCAGATGACTGCAGTTACAATTGAAACAAGGATAAAAGGGTTAGCATTCATAGCCATAGCCATATCCAAATTAAGGCACAAAACATGGAAGTTAATTAGTACCTTTTTCTTGGTATTGGTATCATCTTCATCCTCCTCGTCCTCATCATCTTCATCATCCTCCTCTTCCTCATCCTCGTCGTCATCATCATCATCATCTTCGTCATCATCTTCATCATCGTCATCTTCCAGGTCAGCAAAATCATCTTCAGCAGCTTCACCAGTGAACCAAGAAACCGCATGCGGGATAATCTTATCTCGAATAGTTGACCTGCATAGACCATTAGGATATGAATCTTCAGCAACTAATAGGCAGATGGAAATATAGATACTATAGCACCATCTTCCTTCAGCAATTTTAAAAATAAAATCTTCTTTCAGTAATTCATATTCTATATGGTAAAATATTCACTTCAAATGCAAATTAAAATCATGGTTATGCAAATTTTTGTATCAACTTACCCAATATCATAGTCTTGTTCCATCAAACTTTGAAGTTCTTCAGCCTGCCGAAGAAGTAGAGAGAAATGTTATTCAAATTGAGCCTCAAAAGAAAATAAAACACTTGCACGTCTTCATCAATATCTTCAAGAAAATTAACACTTACAGCATCTTCATCAATATCCGCTTCGTCCTCTGGAACTTGAGGTGGACTAAAGAAGTTGAAGAAACTTTCGCATTGTTCTGTTTTAGTAATAGGCTTGGCATTCTTTGAACCCTTCTTTGGCTTCTTCTTTAGAATCTTTTGTGTCAAACATTTTCCGGGATACCATTCTATCTCGGTCCTACAAGCAATGAGAAGCCAATTTGGAGAAAACAGACTAATAAATCAAATCAAAAAAATTGGCCGTGGATTAATATATCAACATACCCTAAGGCCTTCTCCAGAATCGGTTCATCTTCATCAATCATGTGATACGTTTTAGTCAGCACAGTATTCTTGAAGTAAGGATTAGTATCAAAGAAAAATTCAAGCTTAAACCCCTTTGGATTATCAATCTTGGCCCACTTTATATCCTTGAGAAATTTGAGTGCTCCTTCATCTCGCTCCGTAATCTGTACTTACAGAATCGGATCACATTAATATAGATGGATTTGCTAGATACAAGAAATAAAAGCAAAAAGGAGCACTTGACGATCCACTACTAACCTCCTCAGATAGCACATCATTATTCTTCATTGCAATGAGCCAGAAATCAGGGACTCCTTTTCCTATCAAGTCAAGAATGAATATCACAAGAAAGCAAGCAAGCAAGTATGAACCCTAACTTGATATTTAACATACCCACTGCATCTTCACCGTCGTCCTGGTCCAATGCTGCTGCCTCAGTCTCTGAGGTGTCAACTTCAACAACTCCATTCACAATATCGAATCTCTGCATATGTTCAGTTTTTTAGCTATCATTACTTAGAGATAAAGGGAGTATAGAATCAATGGATGCATGGAACAAGTGCAAATGCAGCCGCATCACAGACCTTTGTATATAGAGGCTGATACAACTTTTGGTATTTGGCTTCAAGCACAGCTCTCTCCTCAAAAAACTTCGCTTCCAATTCATCATGTTGAGACTGAGTTTAAGAAAGAGAAAGAGAGTTCAACATCCAAGGTTGCAAAGACAAAATATCAGATTAAAAGGCAATAAACCTGAGATAGAAAGACATCGGCAACTCGACAGAAACTAATAAACTTACTAAAAAATATGAAAGCTAATTTGGCAACTAATGCACATAGTATTTTGTGAATCAAGGATACCGGATACACTTTCCTAAATAACTCACAATGACGCGACTAACCAACAATATATGCTATGAATCTAGAAAATACATAAGATGCAAAATAATATCTTCACTTCACGTAAAGAAGCAAAATTTATGTTTCACTCCATAACTAAGGGTTCTATAAAACTAGAGAATCTCTGAAGCTAACACTTATCCTACATGGATCTTATTTAAGTACGAAACGAATGACTAAACCTTAATCCAACTAGTCGGCATATAAATGGTAGATGATTAGCCAAAAGCAGCTAAGATAACAATGACACAAATTCAAACGACAGTAGTGTATAAGAAACACGTGCCTGAATCTCCTTTAGAACTTCAACACGCTTTCTAACATTGGGCGACAAACATTCAAGCACGTTTGTGGGCTTCCCAGTGATATCCTGAAGTTTATTCTGCAAAACAATCAAATCAATAAAATCACCCTAATTACTTAAACTAAAGAAAACCACCACACAAAACAACTCACCTTGAGAGCATTAACTAGGTCTTCTCTATCCCCAGCACCCAAAGCTACAAAACAGATTTAATTAGAGAAATTCAAATACATAACATTAAAAAAACAAATGATCAAGCAAATAACTTAAAAAAAAAGCCCAGCAAAAGTTTCTGCTTTTAAATAACTATAGCATGTATTAAGAGTTTGAGCCCCATCTAAAGTTTCATCTTTTAAGAAAGCTCAGAATTTTCACGAGCAAAATACACATAAGTTATAAAGTGTCTTGTTGATCGGGTTTAACTCTACCACATGGTCCCATCAAAAGTTTCATTTTTTAAAGAAACCCAGAAATGTTTACTTGGCTACTTGCACATATTAGTAGTAGTAATAACTTTTTATCTGTCGCTTTAACTCTTTTCACGTCCATTACGAAAATAATAAATACAAGGTATAGTTTACTAACTTACCCCTATTAAATGCTTTTTGAGAATTGAGCATCATTAAAAAGAACTACTACTTCTTTAATATTAACGTTATAGTTGGAAATAATTAACAAATTTGGTCCTGAATTACTAAAGGGACAATTTTTTTTAACAGAGGGAGTATGTATAGTGGTTTAAAATCCCCCATTAAAAGCATATTTGAAGAACCAAATTTAACAAGATACACAGAAGTAACTATACGAAGAGTTTGGATAAATTTAACTCATCGTGTATAAACCCCAATAAAAGTTTCATCTATTAGAGAAATCCAGAATTTTCACTAGAAAACTACACATAAAAGTAAGCTATAAAGTGTTTAGTGGATATGGTTTAACTTAACCCCATCAAAAGTTTCATCTTTTAAACAAACCCCGATAATTTCACTAACGAATTACACACAGAAAAGCCAAGTTTCATCTTTTTAGAGAAGCAAAATATTTTACTAGCAAATATACATAGAACTGAGTAAATAAAATTGCGTTGTGGATAGGATTTTTACCAGCGGTGAGATCGGCAACGTTGAAGCTGTCTTTGGTGTTGCTCATTATATTAACGAAGAAGTAGCAGAGCGAAAATGGAAGAAAGTAGAACGCAAAGCAAAAACCCTAAAAACAGGGGACGAACAAAGGGGGAAGAGAGACAGAGGCGGGGGCTTTAAACTCTTTTTAAAGGTGTTCGGGTCAAAATAATACGCAAAAGTCGCATTTCAGGAGTGCGATTTCCGAACTTTTCTAATGATTTTTTGGACAAAAAACACGTTTTTACTACTAAAAAAAAAGTTACGTAACTACCTAATTCGCAATACTATACTGCGAATTACTTTAACGGAAATTTAGTCGTTAAAGTAATTCGCATTATAGTACTGCGTATTATTAAAAAAAAATATTAACTAATTCGCAGTACAATACTGCGAATTGAGTACACTCCGATTTTTGGGCCCAGCAATTCGCAGTATAGTACTGCGAATTGCTTTAATAAAATAAAGACTCCTCCTTCTTCCCCAAGATAATTCGCAGATCCCCCATTAAAAAAAACAATCTCACCCCACTGCTGGTTCGCGCCCCCCCCCC